GGGCGCGGGCGCGGGACTCTCCCGCCAGGTGGGCCCGCGGCCCCGGCGCGGCTCGGGGGAGGCGGCGCGGCTAACCTTCGGCTCGTTGCAGGGGTTCGTGGCGGTGCCCACCAAAAATCCCGACGGCACGATGAACCTCATGAACTGGGAGTGCGCAATCCCGGGGAAGAAAGGGGTAAGGCGCCCGCGCCCTCCTCCTCCCCCCCTTTGTCTGCCAGGGGTGCCGGGTCTCCTCTGCCCCGGGCACAGGCCGCCGGAGGGGCCTGGAGACGGTGCTGCCGGCTGCCCTGGAACGGTTTGCTTTCCCGAAGGCCTCCCGTTGCGGAGCGGGAAGAACTTTTCCTGAGAAGGAAGTTTGCAGGGGCAGCCCTGCGGTTGAAAAGCTCGGCAGCGATGGGTGGTAAGGAGTCTTGAGCCGAAAGAGCCGCTAATGTGGAAAACAGCTTGTTAACCCTCCCGGCAGTCTCTTAGAGCTTTTCTCTCTGGGTAGTTCAGCCCTTGGAAATGAAATGCCTCTGACAAATTGTTACCTCTTTTCTGCTTTTCCTACAGACCCCGTGGGAAGGAGGTTTATTTAAGTTACGGATGCTTTTTAAGGATGATTATCCCTCCTCACCTCCAAAATGTAAGTCTGGTAAAACTCAGAGCTACCAGGTAGTAGCTTAGATCCTTGACTTTAAACCTGAGTACTGTACTTGGCAAGCATACGTAGTAAATTGGGAGCATCGATGCATTATTTTTTTCCCAAATTCAGAAGCATAAGAGCAGTTTATCAGTGGAACCAACTGCCTCTAGAGGTGGTGGGCTCCCTTTTTCTGGCTGCATTCCAGCATACTGGTTTTAGGATTTGATAAGTTCAAGATCTTGGTCAATTCTGATTCTCTGATAATGTTTCCTGTCTGCTTTGTGAAATCCTTTCCTTTTAGAAGCAGGTATTATACCTCAGGTTTTGAATTATTTTCAAGCAGTGTATTATTTAGAGCATGCCCTATGCAAAATTTCTGTTCATTTGTTTCGTTTTGCAAAGTTCTTGGAATCCCCAGAACATAACAGGTTGTCCTGAACCACAGCAATTGTATCTTCTGTGCTTCTTTTACTTTGTACTACAGTACTCACCCACTGATGTTTTACAACTTGGGCAAGGATTCTGGAAATTCACTTTTCAGTAACTCATAAGATGCGTTGTTTTCTGTTTCTCTATTGGATGTTTGGGATTTTTAGTTTTCATTTTGTTAATTGACTCAGTCTTACTAAGTGCTTGAATAAATACTTTTGTGCATGGAACTAATACACGTTAGATGCATTTTTAAAAATTCTTGCATTTCAGATCTGAGTTTCAGCATGTCAGTCTCCTTCAAAATCTTTTCTTGGGGGGGTGCTTTCCTACCCAACTCTTGCCGCTTTCTTTAAGTTACTATTGCTCTTAAAAGAGGTTTGGTTGAAAAAGCCCAACTCACAGGATTCAAGTGGATACTATCAGTCATTTTCCTATTGAACTAGGTGATTCCAAAAGGAATTCAGTTGGCTTCTTCAAAGAAGGGAACCTAAACTAATCTGCTTTTCAGTCCAGAGTTCAAGTTGTGTAAAGAGACAAAGAGAGCATATTCTTGCTCCTTAACATTGATTGAAGCCATTCTTAAAAGACCTGCTAGCTTTTAAAAGTGTTTTACCAAGAGCCTTGTATCTGAACCAAGTTTTCCTTTCTCTAGGCAAATTTGAACCACCCTTATTCCATCCAAATGTGTATCCTTCGGGCACGGTCTGTCTGTCTATCTTAGAAGAAGATAAGGATTGGAGGCCTGCAATCACAATTAAACAAGTAAGCATTTTGTTAACACATAGACCTGATGTACGCATCATGCTGCATTCACTCAAATGCTCTTAATTGTATAACTGTAAGCTTTGATGATTTCTTAATGCTTGTTTTTCATTCTAATTCACATTCTTATTACCCTAATAACTTAGGGTAAAGGGTAAGTATTTAATACTTTGATGAAAATAAGTATCTGATTTTAATCCATTATTTTGCAAGGTGACATTGTACTTTATGTGGGCATGGGATTATACCTGGTGCTACCCCTTTTATCCCCTCAAAAAACAACGATCACAGTTTTCTTGTGAAATAAGGCAAAATTAACATTTACTCACATGAAGTAGTTTTTGTTTTGTTGAACAGCAGTTACAGTAGCAACAATTAAACTGCAGATTTAAAGTATTAAGTGAATTACAAAATTAGGCCATAATTAGTCTCTGAGCTGAATAGCTCAGACATGTGCTTTTGCCTTGAGAGCATGATGGAGGAGGAAGCGGAAGTGACCTCACAGAGTCTCTGCCTCCTTCCACGTGTCTGTCTATGAATACAGGAGCTGTGAGGTTTTGACTGCATTATCCTACACTTTATAGTCATGCTTATGTCATTTTATGCCCTTAGATTTTGTTAGGAATTCAAGAACTCCTAAATGAACCAAATATCCAAGACCCAGCTCAAGCAGAGGCTTACACAATCTACTGGTGAGTTACCTTTCAACTATTGGGGTTGGGGGTTTTTTTGTTAGCAAACATGGATTTCATTGAATTTGACGTTAAAAGTGTTTTCATCTTTTCACATATCAAGAATTGGATAAGTCAGTGAGCCTATCTAATTTCCTTTCATTTTTACAGTTTTGAAAAAAAGTCAAATAGGTAATGGAGCAGATTCATTTTCTGCTCCTCTTGGAACAAGCATCTCATCTTAAATCATTTTTGGCAGGTGTGGGGACACCCTTTTCTCTCTTAGAGCTGCATGTGGTACTGTAATATGTCGAGTATACGTATACGTGCGTATACTATGTACATTTTAAAATAGACCCATCAGATGCATCAAGGTTGCTGGGAAGCTGAGGCATGCTTAAGGGGAGAGACTGGCCTTGTAGTAGGAGGTGGGCACTATTAGCAAGTGGCATCAAAGGGGGACCACTGATTACAAGGGGATTAGTCCAGCTCTGCTCCAGATAGGATTTGATTGATTGATTAATTTAAAATGGCCACCCATCTTGTAAAGCACAACAGTGAACAGTTCATAATAGTAACATCACAGACAAGAGAACTCAGGTGCCTAATCTGTCATCTCCATCCATTCATCTATGCAATTCCTGGGCTCCAACCTTACTATCCCAGTGCCTGGGGGAAGAGCCAGCTCTTTATGGCTTTCCAGAAAGTTAAGAGAGCGGGGGTTTGTTGGATCTTGAGGGGAAGGTGTTCCACAGGGCCAGGAGAAAGGCACACTTCCTAGGTCCCACTAGATGGCAACGTTTAAGGGAAAAGTCCTGAAGTTTGCCCAGTCAGTCTGATCTAATAGAATGGGCAGATACCCTCAGGAAGAGGCGGTCCTGCAAATTACCCTAACTTGTGCCGTGTAGGGTTTTAAAGGTGATTACCAGCATTGTGAATTGCACCCAGAAACAAACTGAGAGCTAGTGCAGCTTGTGCAGCAGTATTGTCACATGGACAAACTGAGGGATGCCCAGCACTGTGCGAGCTGATGCATTCTGGACCAGCTGTAACTTCTGGGTGGTCTTCAAGGGCAGCAGAATGCATTGCACTGGTACAACCAGGGAGTGACCAAGGCATGAATAACCATGACCAAGGCCTGGCCTTGGAATGGGTACAGTTGGTGCACAAGATGTACCTGTGCACAGGCCTCCCTAGTGTTGATTGCTACCTGCTCCTTGAGGAGGATACTCAAATCCAGGAGGACCTCCAAACTGTGCACCAGGTCTGTCTGTGGAAGTGCTACCCCATCAAGAGTCAAAGGTGACACATAGTGGACACGGGGGCCAAAACCCCAAAAACTCTGTCTTGCTAGGTTGAGCTGGAGCCATTCCCTCTCCATCCAGACCCTCACAGCCTCCAGGCACTGAGTCAGCACTGAAATGGCATCACCTGCCCAGCCAGGGTGAAGATGTATAACTGAGTATCATCAGCATACTGATGGTACCGCACCCCATGCCATTGGATGACCTCACTCACTGGTTTCATGTAGATGTTAAAAAGAAGTGTTAAGAGACCCGAACCCTGAGGCACCTCACATTGTACTGGCCTAGGGCTAGACCTTCCCCCCCAATACCGACTGGTACCAGCCACAGAGAGAAGGAGAACCACTGCAAAACAGCGCCTCCCAATCCCTGCAGAGGGTCCAGAAGGATACCATGTAAAATCCAGGTCAGTCATCATACAAAATAATGAAAAGTACAAGATTAAGAATGAAATGCTTGTATAAGTAGGTCTTCTGTTTTAAACCCAAGCAGCAAGGAGAAAAATCACATCACCATATAAGACCACTCCAGATTTAATTTTGACCCAGCCTCGGAACAATTAAAATGTTCTGGGGTTCAATTTGTTGAGTAAGTCTTTCATCACTGCCAATTCACTACTCTGCTTACTGGACCTCTTTAGGGAGGAGCCTCTGTAATATTGCTTGTCTAAAATATAATTTATAGCCAGAGAAGGTAGACCACAAGACTGGCTTTCTTTGCAGATCAGGGGCAATCAGCATGGTTACCTGTTACGTTGAAGCAGAACACAGGCAACACCCAGAGTGTGGGGAGTGCCTGTTGGCTTTAACCCAGCCAAGTTATTCAATCCCGTGCTTCTCACTTGGGCTCCTGTACACATTCCTAATCTATTTTTGCAGATACATGCACACCCACACAAAGATACCTCCCTGCTCTGCATATATTGTAGACAATCAAGAGTAACCATAATTTCCTTTACAAAGGCAAAGCAAGGCAGTGAATACCAAGAGCTCCTTTAAAAAGTATGCACAGGGATAGAAAGGGGGAAGCAAAGCAGAGAGTCACAGAACACTCATGGACAGAATCCCTAGAGTAATATCCAAGTTGCAAGTTAGGTAATAAGATGTCCAGTCTATTCCCTGTGGAGAAGCAGAGCTGTTAGGAAGTGGTGATACTGTGTAGAGAAATTAGACCATGTTGAGAGAGTAGACATGAGTATGGAATGGAAGGAAGGAGCCCAGAGTGGATTTTTTAAGGGAAAAGACCAGGTTGTAGTTGGCCCCTTCTGGTTCCTAATCCAAATTGACCACGTACTTCAGTCTGTATTGGGCTTTCTCCAGCAGCCAACCAATTATTCATGCAAGACCTGGTTCCTCCAGAGGTGCCCACCCTTAACAAATAGTCTGGATTTCCAGAAGAAGGGTACAGGTTATGTAAGAGTCCCAATATAACCTCCTTCGAATACTATCTGCTTTTAATTATATCTTGTCTTTGGTTTACATTTCCATAGCTATTATCTTGCTTGCAGAAATTCCAAGTGTCAGTCCCCTGTCCCAAACTATGATTATTAAACACAGTTACTTTGTATAATAGGAGGGAAGGGTATAGAGAGGCAAAGTTCTGCTTTTTAGCAAATACAGAATAATCACCTTCTGTGGTAGCTCCTGAATTCTCTGCCGGCTGAAGCTAGCATGGCTTCCTCCCTGTTAATATTCAGGAGGGCAATTGAAATATTGCACTTTCATAGTCTTTAGGAAATGAGCATTACTGTTATGACTGAGTTATTATACGGGCAGGTTTTATGAAAGCGTTTATGCTGAAATGCTACTTTTTAAAGTATACTGGTAAGTGATCAGCTGGTTTGATGTTACTGAACTTTAGTTTGAATGGGTGTTTTATTGTATTAATTGTAAGTTGCTTAGAGTTTATGGTAAACAAATGAATAATTTTCCACAGATACAGGTTTTCGACCTCATCATTAAGCTTTTACATGAATATCTTTATAGTATACAAATCTGAATTCTAACCATTCCTAACAGGTTCAGTTGAACTGCAGTCTATCCAGAATGGTTCAGCAGAATTTCTGAAACACAATGTATTTATTTGAGAACAAAACACATTGTCCATTTTGAAATGGTTAATTTTGAAGCTTTGTTTTACTTTCTGAAGTTACGAGCTGCTCCAAGCATGTTTTTCCATGGAAAAGCTGCACACTAATAAACTGTTATGTGTTATAATTAGAAGAAGTTGAGGCCCATTTTCTACCACACGAATAAAGTTTGCCACAGGGCTCTTGTTAAAGCACATCTTTTTTAAAAGCCTTTTGAGCATGAGGAGAAAAATCCATTAAGGCCTCTGATTCACTGATTCAAAGTGGAGTATTTTTGGTCTTTGGAGATTCCTCCCCTGCAGAGCTCCTAGCATTATCATCTCTTTCTCATTCCCAAATTACTTTATTATTGGAAATAATTTCATTCAATCTACTATTGATTTTGCATCTAAAATCAGTGGTGTTCATATTCATACATACTGAAATTCTTGAGAGCTGTGTTGTAAGTAAAGTGCTTGTACTTGAGTCCTAGCGTATAACACCTGTCTAATTTCCATCTCCAGTGAAAAACTGCAAGTTCGCTTAAAATACCAAGAGTTTGATTTTTGTAGGTTTTTGGGCTAGGGAGAATCTGATCTAGAACACTTTATGGACTCTGGTCTTTGAGAGTCGTTAGCTGTTTTTTTCTCTATATTTAGCCAAAACAGAGTGGAATATGAAAAGAGGGTTCGAGCACAAGCCAAGAAGTTTGCACCATCATAAGCTCCTGTCATCCACCATCTTTAAAGGAAGGGATTAATTGGCAAGAACTTGTTTACAAAACTTTTGCAAATCTAATGTCGCTATGTACAATTAATAGTCATTTAGGGGAAGGGATTATATGTGTGCCATTTTCCATATTCACCACTTGTATACAGTTCTAAACTTGCTGAATTGTCCCCAGTTTTTCATACAGGGTCTCTTCCTTCAGTCTTTTGTATTTTTGATTGTTATGTAAAACTTGCTTTTATTTTAATATTGATGTCAGTATTTCAACTGCTGTAAAACTATAAACTTTTATACTTCTATAAATTCACTAGTATCTCTAGTTTCTTTGCTCTCAGATGCAGGCACGCTTTAAAATGTTTAGGGGTTTTTTTTGTTTTGTTTTTTGGCCTCTACTTGGCTGGTAAGAAAAAACATGTCCTCCATTCCCTTTTGTTTTCTACCAATAAGGAATTAGGTTGTTGCATAAATGCCTTGGATCCAAAGTCAGCCGCATCTTGATTCTGCATCACCTCCTTTGTGTTTATGGAGTTTTGTCTGTGTTGCTGTTTAGAGTAAATAAACTGTTTCTATAAAGTTTTTTGTCTCATTTTCTTCCCCATTTCTTCAATATTATACCACTTCTGGAGAAACAGTGCACTATACAGTACAGCTGCTTGTACAGTGCAAATAGCACCAACTTGATGTGCAGTAGACTTTGCTTCAGTTAGACACTGGGTGAGGGGAAACACTTTCTGATACACAGGAGATGTGTTGCCTGCTGCAGCTGTCAACAAACTGTATTAGAAAATCCAGTAATCTAAATATTTTTAATAGAACTTTGTGCTTTTCATGTATTTGTAAAATGCAGTTGATAATAAACCTTTTCCTTAGCTCTTGGAAAGAGCAGAAATGACTGAAAAAAACAAATGCAGCACTACTAGTTACATTTTGTGTCCAGGTTACTTCATTCTCTAACAAACTTGTGAGAGTTTACAAAGAAAGCTTTTATGGTTAGGTCTGAAACTTACTATACAATCTGCCTCTTTTTAAACTATAAACAATGACTGTTAAAATATAAGTTAGATCAGTTCACTTAAAAAAGCAAAAGGTTATTAGGGATCTGCAAGATTTAACAGTCCAAGATTGGAATTTTCCAGAGAACTCCAGAATATACCAGTTCCCCCCCACAGCATGCTGATGCAGCCATTCCAGGGGTGGTCGGGGGATTTTCCAGAATTATCTGAACCTGAAGCACTATGAGTGTTCTAGATGTGGCTTGCCCCTTCTAAAGCCCCTTATCAAGAACCATTTCCAGCAAACCAGACTGCCACTGGACCAGGAAGAAGGTATGTTTTGCATGCCTGCAGTCTGGCTCTGTCCTAAGTATTCCACCTTTAAAATACTAGAAATCATAGTCTGACTCTAGACAATATTTGCCATTGATGTAACCTTCCAAAGCAAGATTAATACTTGGGCAACGCTAACTGAAAGGACATATCAATCAGACCTAGTTTTGTGATGAAAATGAGGCATGCCAAAAACATTCAGGTTTTGAAAAAAATAATTCTGACTTGGAAAGAAGCATCCTGTGTTCTGAAGTTTCATCCCATATTCAGAACACACTTGGGCTTTTATCTCTCCATTGTTTGGAAAGCTTGCCCATTCCACAATTGGCTTTTAATTGTTGAGGCAGAGATGTGGAAGAGTGGATAGGTCATAAAGCAGAAGATGCAGATTCTCTCTCTACACATTCAGAAAAGTAAAACCGTTTTTGAATGACTGCATCATGAAGGCAATAGCTGCCAGACTGCAAGTTACATGTATTGCTGCTATCTATATAACTTTTCTGTGTTGTTTTTTGGGCACATTACCAAAAAGAAAAGTCTACACGCAGTAGCCGAAGAACAGCATTTTTCCTAGTCCTACATTGTTCATGAGTTACTGTTCAATTTAGTAGCATCTCCAGGCAGCTAACAACATCCAAAACCTCTCGTCAGACAGTTGAAAAAAAAAAAAACCTGTGACAAATTCAAGCCACAACCACATGGGCTTCAGCTATTTGTCCTACTTGAAAACAGGACTAAAATTTTATCCTAAAATTAACCCATTGTTAGTGTGTCACCCTTGTCTCTAATGGCTGTTTGCAGGCAGAAAAAAAGCTATTTCTAATGTTTGCTACAGCAATTTTAAGGAAGCCTTAAAAAAAACACTAATAATTTTTCTGTAGGATTGGTAAGGAACAGTCAGTATAAACTACTATCCCACTTACTTTTATGGCCCCATTTTGTTCTGAAGTTAGGAAAAAAATGTGTGCACATCCAAATGGAAATTGCCAAGGACACACCATAGGATTCGGAAAGATTTCATATGGAACCGTAGGGTCCGATCTTATTTCATGTGGTATTGCTGGATCCGTTGCTACTTGGATGGCAGGCTGCCAGCGGTGATCCTGTGAGACTTTCTATTCAAGCTCAAGGTGATTCATGCCTTGCAGTTCAGTTCTTTTACTCGTGCTGTTTCATATTTACATGAAGCTATTGCAGGTAGTCATCAGGACACCTGATCCATTCATAGTATTTATTTCAATTTTGAGTCTGTCCAACTCCATAGTGACTGGTTAGTTTACACATAAATACAGAGTTACAGAGCAATGGCAGTGTGATCTGAAGAAGGAATTACAGCTGTCCCCCTTGTCATGGTCATGTCCTGGTGGCCTTGAGATTCTCCTATGCTACTCCCATAGTACCCCGCAGGGAGATAGGACCCATTCAATTGATCCAACCCCAGCGACTGATGGACCCAATTGGGTTCCAAAGGGAGCTGGGGGTTATACCCAAGAGTCTGCTGCGTGGTCCAGCAGAGGCCTTGGCCGCTACCTTTCCATAGGATCCAGTGATGGCTTCTTGAGGAGGGGTGCACCAGCGCCTCCTTAAAGGCAGCTGGAAACATCCCCTCCCTCAGGGATGAATTCACCATTGCCTGGACCCACCCATGTCACCTCCTCGGAAGCTTTAACTAGCCAGGAGGGACATGGATCTAGTTGACAGGTGGTGCCACTGACCCTCTGGAGGATCCTGTCCACTTCCTCATAGGAAAGTGGCCAAGGTCTTGGACAAGATCGCACCCGTGCGACCTCTCTTGACCCACTGAACCCGACACTCCCTGTGGTTTACGGAGGAGCTGAGGGTTTTGAAAAGGGTTAAAAGACATCTAGAGTGTCGCTGGAAGAAAACAAGGACCAAACCCAACCGAACACAAGCTAGAGCTGCTATTAAGGCCTACCTTGTGGCCGTAAGAGCGGCGAAACATCAATATTTCTCTGCTGTCATTGCATCCACGGAATGCTGCCCGATGGCCCTGTTCAAGGTCACCCGATCTCTTGGGAAAGGGGGGCTCAGTAGCCCATTTACAGGGGAGTTTTCTAGGCATCTGGAGGATAAAATCACTCTGATCCAGCTCCAGTAGGATACCAAGCAAAAGGCAAGGTCTATAGAGATGCCCAGGGTACGTTCTTACCCTGTTATCTGGGAACAGTTTGATCCTGTTGAACTGAGGAAGTGGACAGGGTCCTCCAGAGGATCAATGCCACCACCTGTCAACTAGATCCATGTCCCTCCTGGCTAGTTAAAGCTTCCGAGGAGGTGACATGGGTGGGTCTAGGCAATGGTGAATTCATCCTTGAGGGAGGGGATGTTTCCAGCTGCCTTTAAGGAGGTGCTGGTGCACCCCCTCCTCAAGAAGCCATCACTGGATCCCACCATACTGGACAAATTTCGTCCAGTCTCTCACCTCCCCATTTTAGGGAAGGTGGTTGAGAAGGTGGCGGCATTGCAGCTCCAGAGGATCCTGGAGGAAAGAGATTATCTGGACCCTTTTCAGTCAGGTTTCAGGCCTGGATACGGGACGGAAACGACATTGGTCGTGCTCGTGGATGATCTCTGGCAGGAGTGGGATGGGGGTAGTGCTCTTCTTGACCTCTCAGCGGCTTTCAATAGCATCGACCATGATATACTTTTGGGTCGGCTCGGGGAGTTGGGAATGGGTGACAGAGTTTTGTGCTGGTTCTCTTCCTCCAAGATCAATCCCAATCAGTCTTGATTGGGGGCAAGAGATCCAGCTTGCAGCCCCTCCTTTGTGGGGTGCCACAGGGTTCGGTACTCTCTCTGCTCCTTTTTAACATCTACATGAAACCACTGGGTGAGATCATCTGACACCATGGGATGAGGTATCAATATGCTGATGATACCCAGTTAAAACCATCCATCTTGGGTGAAGTGAGTGATGCCTTGACCACCCTTTCGCGGTGCCTCGAGGCTGTAGGGGTCTGGATGGGGTGCAACAGGCTTCAGCTGAACCCTGGTAAGACGGAGTGGCTATGGGTTGGAAGCCCCTCTGTATCCAAGGATTTACCATCTTTGGCTTTGGACAGGGTTGCGCTGCCCCAGACCTGGTGTGTAATCTGGGGGTCCTCCTGGACTCACGACTCCTGCTCAAGGAGCAGGTGGCAGTCGTGGCCAGGAGAGCCTTTGCCCACTTTCATGTGGTACGCCAATTACGGCCCTTCCTGGATCAGGAGGCTCTCCGGTCAGTCACTCATGCCCTGGTCATCTCTTGGCTAGACTATTGCAATGCGCTCTATACGGGGTACCTTTGAAGAGTATTCGGAAGCTACAGCTGGTCCAAAATGCAGCCGTGTGGATAACTTTGAGTGTCCCAAGAATGGTGCATATAACGCCTTTACTATGTGAGCTGCATTGGGGCCCAGTTTGCTTCCGGGTCCAATTCAAAGTGTTGGTTATCACCTTTAAAGCCCTACATGGCATGGGCCCAGGTTACCTGAGGGACCACCTTACCCCCATCACATCAACCCATCTCACCTGGTCAGGCAGAGAGGGCATGTTGCAGGTTCCATCAGCGAGAGAATGTCAACTGGCGGGGCCCAGGAGAAGAGCCTTTTCTGCCAGTGCTCCCGCCCTTTGGAACATTCTCCCCCCAGAGTTGTGGCAGGCCCTTACCCTACCAGCCTTCCAGAAAAAATTGAAGACCTGGCTCTGCCCATGAGGGGATAACAAATCTACCCAATCCTGGGGGTGGCTAGCACCTAAGTGACGCTCCCTGAGTGATCACCAATTGTTTTGGATCTTTTTATTTATTATTGTAATTTTAATTGTTTTGTAAACTGCCCAGAGTCATTTAACAAGATGGACGGTAACAAGTTCAATAAATGAATGAATGAATGAATGAATGAATGAATGAATGAATGAATGAATGAATGAAAAAACAAAATATATCAAGAAAAAGAAGACAATTGACCAAAGACAAAACCCCCAAAAGTCAAACAGAAAAAAAACAACCAAAAGGCTGAATCATCATCCTAGCTCATGGCCTGGGAGCTAGGTCTTAAATGGTTTGCAGAAAGTCAAAAGGGTTGGAGCAGTACAAATCTCTTGGAGGGGTTATCATTCCACACTTTCTAGGTCCTGCAAAACAACACTGCTTAATTGATGGGACCTGGAGCATATACTGTAGAGTTATTTTGCTTTCTAGTGTTCATATGACACTTAGCCTTCCGAGATCTTTGCTTTAATAGAGTGAGTAGTTATGATCACTTTCATTGAGAACCACTTTACATTATTGCAATGGGCTATAAATGGGATTTTTTAAAAAAATGGTTTGGATTTACAATTTGTCCAGAACATGGCAAAAGGCAGAAGAAGAATGTTTTGGCCTGTCACTGCACTGACAAAGGACACTTCTCTATGTACCTTCAGCCAAATTAGGTCCTAGAGAGCAGAATGAGATCCCCCAGGGTATCATAGTGGAGCCAAGTGAAGAAAGTTCATTGTAAGAGTCACATCTTACAATATTTCAGTTACTGTTTAATATTCCAATTTTGAGGCCACCCAACTCTGGGCAGCTTACAGTGAAGTAAAATTAAAAAACAATCTGTATCAAAGAAGAGAAGGATGACTGGAAAACATCCTACCCAAGGCCTGGGAGAAGAACCAGATTTTCAGCAATTTTTGAAAAATCAGTAGGGTGGGAGCAGTATGGATTTCCAGACAGCAGGAGCCATCATCAAGAAGGCATGCTTCCTGGGTCCTGTAAGATGATGTTGCTAAATAAATGGGACTTGGAGCGTGTCCATTCTAACTGACCTCACTGGGTGGTCCCTCAGGTAGCTTGGCCCTATGGCATGAAGGGCTTTATAGGTAATGATTAGTGCCCACCAGAATTGCACCAGAAGCCAACTGGTAACCAGTGCAGCTTGGGAAGCAGCAGGGATGTGCACATACTGTGACACTCCCATGACTACCTGCACTGCTGTATTCTGGACCAGCTGTGGCTTCCAAGTGGTCTTCAAGGGTAATCCTATGTAAACAGCACTATAGCAATCCAATCATGAGGTGACCAAGGCATGGATCTCTTTCTGAAGGGCCTTGTGGCCCATAAACAGGCACGACTGGTGCCCCAGATGTACCTGTGCAAAGGCCCTCTTGGCCACTACTACCACCTGCTCTTCAAGCAGGAGCTATGAGTCCAAGAGGACCCACAGACAGCACACCAGTCTTGAATGGGGAAGTGCAACCCCCATCCAAGACTAACAACAGAAAATCACCCAATCCAGGGGCCCTAATATCTACTGCCACTCTATCTTGGCAGGATTGAGCTCAAATCTGTTCCTCCCCATTCAGGCCCACACAGCCTCCAGGCACTGGGTCAGGACTTTGGCAGCGTCACTTCATCGGCCCAGAATTGAGATTTATAATTGGGTATCATCAGAAGGGGAGAGAGAATTGAGCCCTGTAGTTCCCCTGCAGTGCCCCACAAGTAATGGACTGTGGATACGACCTCTCACCCCGTCAACACCAATTGAAACTGGCCAGAGAGAAAGGAGAACCACTGCAAAACTGCCTCCCACTCTCAGCCCCTGAAGCTGCCTCAAAAGAACACTGTGGTCACTAGTGTCAAATGCTGCTGAGAGACCCAGGAGCACAACGATGGACACATCTGTTGTTTTATACTACAGATGAATGTTGTTTTGTGAGCTGCACAGAGAAAATCTATTAGAGTGATCTATGGAGGGGGGCACTCATTTCTTCATAAAAGCATCAGTTATGTAAAATGGAAGTGCTTTTTCTTTGTACTTAATATTCAGTTGCCTGCTCTCCTTCCCCAAAGGGATCTTGAGACAAAAACAATAGCCTTTTTTCTACATCCCTTTAGTCAAGTTCTACTCACTTCTTTACTGCTTGCTTGCTTCCTTTTAAATTCTCAGGGACTAGGCAACTACTGGGTGCTGAACACATACTAGATAATTGGTCTTATTTTGACTCACAAAGTATACATATTTGCCTCTTCAAACACAATGAGGAGCCTGTTTTCACTGTACTTTCTGGTTTAGAGCATTTATTATCAACTATCCATCCACAACATATTAAGAATTAAACAACTGAAAGTAATGATGCCAGATATGAGGAAAACGTTTCTAATTTTTCTTCCATCATTTCAAAACAATTCTCAGAGTAATAATTAGTTGAGATGCTAAGTAAAAAAATAAGACAAGGATATGGATATTGCAGTAGTAAAATCTATTTGATAAGCAGAGTATGAGTGAAGTTCATCAAGCAGCTCAGTTGATGGACAATACCAACTGGTTGACTGCAGTATTTCAAACTGGAAGAATGTGATTTGAAGTTCTATCCTAGTTCTGAGCAAAACCCTGTTACTGAATTCAGTGATACTCCTTTCCTTTCAGAATGCTTTCTTGCCTCCGTACAGCTGACTTACTGGTTCCGGCACAGGATGCGTTCATGTCCTCCTCACCGCTGCTGCTGTCACTGTTCTCGGTCACCTCATCAGAGGAACTCTCATCTGCAGCAGCTGCTCTACAAATGAAGATCAGGGTTACTCTATAACCCAGTAATGATCCCCAGAGACTTACTGATCCCCTTAGAAGACTTACTCTGTGGCTCTGCAAGGCCTGTTGAGTACAGAAAATTCCTTTCCTGAATCAACATCAAAAGGGTCTGGGGGAAAAAACATAAAGACTGTTAAACTAAAAGTTCCCACCCATTGACCTATCAGAAAAGTAGGTTAGCAAGTATTAATTTAAATTACAAATTAAATCCATAGGACCCTACAACTCCATTTTTCTTTATTGTCCTGGCAAACAAATGATAAGCCACCAGCTACTCTGGAGGAGCGAGGAAGTATTTACCAAGCAACTTTCAGGAGACAATCTGCGTTTTCCTGCATTAGCTTTGCTAGGGATGAAAGGGTGGGGTGTTCATATGACCTTTAAGGCAGGGCTGGAAACCTGTAGCTGATGAATTCCCCAACATTTGTGTAACAACTGAAAAAAAAAATCTATTGGCCCTAACTGGAATATATTTCAAATTGAACTGAAATGAGATATAAGTAAATGAGACTGAACTATGTGCAAGGATTTAATAGCACTTAACAGAACTATCTTTAAATGAGTTGAGTCACATTATAGGTCCACAGAATACAACAATTAAAATGGTCCTAGTTCAATTCAGTCCCTTCTACCCCCATCCTGCTGTGCTGCCTCATCGTGGTGGTGGGGGTAGGTGGGTTGGGGGTGTTTCTGGGAGGGATGAGTAAAGAACATTGGGAACGTACACCAAGAGTATATATTCCCAGCAGAGTCATCCAAGGCATGAAAGTCATCTCAGCTGCCCACTAAAGCAAGCAGGCACCTATATTGGGCAGCAGCGTTTTAGGAAGATGCTGGAGGCAGATGATCACTTTAATGACAATGACCAAGGCATCAATTCATACTGCACAAGAGAAGACAATGATAAACCACTCCTATATTTTTACCAAGAAAATCACATGGACAGAAAACATAAAATGATTGATGATATGCTGGATGATGGGCCCATCAGGTCGAACTTGACAACATGCTACTGAGGAAGAGAAGGAGCTGAGGATCTTTCAGAGAACTAAAGGTGTTTATGACATGGCTAGATTAAAGCCTTCAGGACATTTGGTTGCTGATGCTGCCATACAGGAAAAGAAAATCCAAAGCTGGAAAGACTGATTTAGAGTAGGGACATGGAATGTCTTCAAACAATCAAAATGGCACCTCTATACATGGATACCACCACATGGAGCATATAGAAATCAAACTGACTATATTATTGCTAAAAAGGAGGTGGAGGAGCTCAATTATAAGATCAAAGACATGGCCAGGTGCTGACTGTGGAATAGATCACAAACTGCTCCAAGTTAAGCTAAAGAAGAAAAAGAAAGCCAGTCAATTTCCACGATACGATTTTGAACATATACCAACCATTTTCAAGGAGAACATCAGGAATCACTTGAAGTCCTAAACCTCACTGACAAAGAACCAGAGGAATTAGGGAATGAACTTAAAGAGGTTGTTAAGGATGAATGTGAGAAGAGACTGCCAAAAATGAAGAAAGAGAAGAAAGCAAACTGGATATTAGAACAAACTCCGGAAATTGCCAAGAAGAGAACAGAAGCCAAAACCAAGAAAGACAAAAATCTCAGAAAGAAACTCAACAAAGGGTTTCAGAAAGCTGTTAGAAGAGACAAGAAGCAGTATTACAAAGACATCTGTAAAAACATTGGAGATGGAAACGGACATGGAAAAACAAGGAAAATCTTTCAAAAGATCTCTGAACTCAGAAGGAGGATCCAACCTCGAATTGCTATGCTAAAGGACACCAAGGGACAGATAGTAACCAATTCAAAGGAGATCAAAGATGAAGGAGTATACTGAAACACTATACAGTAAAGATGTCAACATTCAAGATACCTTAGAATATATTCCTTACTTACAAGAACCTCTAGTACTAGAAGATGAGGTTAGATTAACACTCCAATCATTACCAAACTGGAAGGCCACAGGAGCTGATGGAATACCCACTGAAATATGCCAAGCAACAGAAAAAGAATCAGTT